AAAAGATATTACTTCATTTACTCGATAACATTACAAAAAGAGCGAATGTCGAAGATCAGCATTGAATGAAGAGTTTCAACCCTAATATATCTGAAAGCTTTTTAACAGTTGAGTCCGTTTAAATGTGACTGGCAAAAACTTTCTTAAACCGATTCCAGTGGCAGGTGAGGTAGGTCCGAGCTTAAGCCTTCCTCAGAAAAATTGTCCAAAAAGTCTTAAATCTATTTTATCGAGGCATATTCAGTCGTAAACCTTTCAATTGTGCCAATTTGGTCATAAACCTTTTGACGATTTGCCATTATAGTTCTTCCAACCAATTTTGGTCGGAAATCACTGATGTGGATGCCAGCTTCCTAAGTGGTGTGGTGAGCGCTGACAGGGAAAATTTTGCAATTTTTTTCGATTTTTTTTTCATTTCCTTTCCTTTTCTTTTTCTTTTCTTTCCTTTCATTTTTGCCCGCCGACCACAGGCGAGGACCACCCTCGCCTGGGTGACTGTCGCCCACACTAGATCTAGTGAAAAAATTATAAAAAAATTAGAAATTTTTTTAAAAATTGCAAAAATTGTCCAGATTAGCGCTGACAGCGCCACGTAAGACAGTCAACATTCACGTCAATGATTTCTGGTCAAAATTGGCCTGAAGGACTATATTGGCAAAATGTAGAAAGGTTTGGGACTAAATTGATATAATTGAAAGGTTTATAACTAAATTTGCAAATCGTTAAAAGGTTTAGGACTAAATTGGCTGCCGTATAATAGGTTTAGAACTTTTTGGACAATTCCTTTGTTTTTAGTTACAACATTGCTCGCACAAGTTAGCCACGAAACTCACATCGTCGCCAAAACCATTAAATCTCCGCTATTTCTAGGGATGAACATATTTTAGTGCCAGGCGCAACTTTCTTTGCCAAAATATGTTGTGACGCGGGTCTAGCAACGAAGCTTCGTGACGAGGGGTCTTGTCGCTAAAAGCTCCAGTTACATGATACATATCAAGTTCTGGCGACGGATTTGCTTGGCCGACACAGGCCCTTTTTCTAGTGAATCTAATGTTGGAGTATGTGTATAGATGTACCGCCAGGTAGAAATCCATTAGTGTAGGCCTTATCTTCCGACAGATGAAATATCACATTCTTATGTTCAAAGCGTGCATATGATGTCCTAGGAGCTTGCTGTCCGTATGTATTTGTGCAGTGAAGGAGGATTTTTTGATCTCATTTGGATGATAAACTTGTATTGTGGTTGATGGGGTCTTCGTTCTGTTGAAGTAGCTACCGGCGCTTTTTGTTAGGTCTCCTGCGAGTGTTGCTGTCGACCTATTCTCATATTGGACAATAGCGTGCATAGATGAAAGTTGCCCTCTTTGAGGTAAAGTAAGTGAGTATTTCGAGCTAAATCTTCACTGCATCATGTTGACATCTTCTCAGCTTGCCATCCATGCTTTGAGAGTGTAAAATATCACCCGTCGTTCTATCGGTAGAGAGAGAATGACGTCGCTAATTTGCAACGAAAAATTACTCGTCGTTAATTTGCGACGAAAACCGAATTCGTCGCTAATTTGCGAAGAAAAAAAAATTACTCAAATTCCCATGAAATCAAGAGTCGGGGAAAGGCCACACGAATCGTTCCGTAGAACCAAGAAAAGAAAAAACACCCCCCATTGCCTCAACACATCAAAAACAACACAATGCGCAGAACCATCACAAACGAAAACCCGAGCACGAGGGAACAACAAACGGCGATTCAAACCTGATGCCCTGGCGAGACCCGGAACGAAAACCCGAGCTAACCGCGAAGAACACGACGGCGCCCGGCGCCGAAAGGGGGAGGAACCGAGCAAGATTCCAGGGTTGGAGTCAAGCTACCAGTGCTGCGTACCTCGATGGATGATGGATCAGTGGGAGATTGCGAGGGCGAGCCACAACACTTTCTCTCTCTTCTGCGCCTCTGCTCTTCGCCACAGATTTGGGCGACGGCGAGGTCGAGCGGCGGCCATGGCGAGGTCGAGCGGTGGCCATGGCGAGGCTGCTCGACCTCCCCCAGATCTGGGTGAGGTTGAGCGGCCTTGCCATGGCTGCTCGACCTCGCCGTCGCCACAGATCTGGGTGACGGCGAGGTCGAGCGGCCTCGCCATGGCCGCCGCTTGACCTCGCCTAGATCTGGGGGAGGCCGAGCAGCCTTGTCATGGCCGCCGCTCGGCCTCCCCTAGATCTGGGCGAGGTCAAGCGGCCTCGCCAGTGCCGGCGAGGGCCAGCCTCGCCCATGGCCGACGAGGTCGACTCGCCGGCCTCCGGCGACCGGCGAAGAAAATAAGGAAAAAGAAAAAGAAAAAGAAAATTATAAACATAAAATTCGAAAAAAAATAATTAAAAAATTAGCGACGAATTTTGCCACGAATATAGTTCGTGACTAATTAGCGACAAATTTTGCCACGATTAATTAGCGACGAATTTTGCCACGAATATATTTCATCGCAATTTAGCGACGAAAATTGAAATTTTTCGTCGCTAAATTTTGCGACGCCGAATTGGCGACTATATTTTTTTCGTCGCAAATTCGTTTAGCGACGAATTTTGCCAAATTTTTCGTGGCAAAATTCGTCGCTAAAACCTACTTTTTTCGTAGTGAATATAAAGAACGGAAATCGCATTTAGGTAGTTGCATCTCAGGAATAGTTTTAATCCCGTTTAGTTTAAGATTGCATTTAGGGAATTGTCTCAGTACATGTTTCGCTTTTAGGTTCCATTTATATGCTATGAAAGGTTCAATACAACCACACATAAAAGCGACATCATTCCTACCGTACCGTGACTGTAAATCTATTTCTCAAGAGTTGCCCTAAAACTAGTCCATCATTTACATAGCTGAAATGGAGCGGCTAAAAGTCTCGGATGTGTCATGTTTAAATATCAAAGACGAAGCCAGAACGTAAATAACATTTGCCTCACCAGGAGTCACCCGCTTTAATACCGATCGGCTTTTCATTCAAAAATGCTAATTTACTAGCAGATTGCTTGAGAAAACAGTAACCTGCAAATGCAATAAGAAACGAAGCTTTGAATTCTGAACATCTATCCCGTGTCCTCGTCAAAGCCGGAAGGAATAACATATACTAGAAGTACAATGATGCATAACAACATAGAAATAAACAAGAAATAAAGCCATGTCTTGGCACATTAGGGGAGAACCACACAAGTTTGTGCCTGTCAACATTAGCACTCTTGTTTCTGACAATTCCCCAAGCAACAAAAGAGTTAAGGCAACCATTTGAAGAAGTTGTGCCTACTACTTTGTCTGCAGCGGAGGAACTAGGAAAAACACCACAAACTGCAGCTTGGAAGGGAACCAACTCTTCAGACCTAGCAGCGGGCCAGTTCCAATGAGAGTTACAAATTACAGCAGATACTTTGGCCTGCAAAGGAAGAGAAGAGTCTTAAGTTATTCTCCGTGAGAAATGATCCGGTGAGATCCCAGCATGGTGCCACAAGTCATACCAAAGAGAAATATATCTCCATTGCCCACTATATATCTAATATGGCGTTTAAAAATATGAGGACTCTTCATAACTTCTTCCAAGCATAATAGGCAGCATCCTGCTTACGGTCAAGATGCTACCCATACAACCAGGCAAAACATAGAGACCCACATCTCAACAAAATACTTCACAGACACTTCAAAATACAAGCAAGATTTCCCAAATCCAGTCTTCGAATGCCAAGCCTCCAAACTGCTTAGGAAGACAGACAGTGTCCCATCTAACTTTTGCTCCCTCTTTGGCATCAGAATTTCCCATCCAAAGGAAAGCTCTACAGTTTAGCTCAACCATTTCAATTACTTTCTTGGGCAGCAAAAAGAGTTGAGACCAATAGTCAACCAGACTATAAATAACAGATTTAATAAGCTGAATGTCATCGGCATATGAGTGGCTTTTAACTGTCCAAGCTTTAAATCTTTTTGTAATTTGATGATTTTATGAGATTGTATGAAAGTCTTTCAGACCATCCAAAATAACTAGAAGAATGAACCAAACAAGAACATAGGGTTGGCGTTGGCTGATTGGTCATGCTGTTTGATTAGATTGCTGCATATTAGACAAATGCATTTTTTAAAGCTTAAGCAATTAGGAAACGTGCCAAACAATGTATATATAACGTATAACTTAACACTCCCCTTGCTATTTATTCATCATATAAATCATGTCCAGACTTTAGATTCATCTAGCGGATCGAACATCAGGGCAAAAACAAGACACTTATTGAACAGGGAAAGAGAACATGTACATACCTCTGTCCCCGTGAGTCATTCGAGAACCAACTAATCATGGGAAAAGCTTCCACGAAAGTTCGAGATGTTAACAAGAAAGCTAGCCCGCAGTGGCATGTTCCCTGCTTCGTCTCTACAGTGAGGAGCAATCTCACGTCCAGGGTCCCCCTTCAGCATCTTCTCCTCCTAAGACTTAATACCGGTGAGGCGGTGATGGCGAAGGAAAGGGTACCGACCAAACTTCACCAATGGGAATTCCAGTGTAATTTGCAACGCAAGCAAGATGGAGAGAATCTTGGGCAATGAGACTCGAGCGTAGCGATGACAAAAGAGTTGGTGGATGAGGGAGCGCAGAAAAACTGGTGGAATGCCAAAAAAATAAAAAATTAGCCCGTCGACAACATGCCTGGGATTTTTTCACGACAATTTACGCCGGACCGATGAGATCACGGGGGGAAGAAAGCATTTCAATTGGGGGGGGTGGAACTGGTACCAAATCTGAAGAGAGAATTTGACAGCGAGTAGAAATCAATACCTGGTTTTTACCCAAAATATATATTTATATCGAGGGGCCATCGAAATCTTCGCGAGGTCGAGAGGAACAGAGCCGAAAGAAGAAGCGGAGAGAGGCGGTGATTGTGATGGTGATGGTTACGCCCAAAAGAAGCTGCTTCTTCAAGCTTACTACTAAATCTTCTATAAAAAATTAAAATACGGAACCCCCTTTTCAAAAAACGCCAAAGCTCAGATAATATTAAAACCCCCCTATCTCTTCCCCGCATACATAGCATTCGAGTCCGAATCGTCTTTTTAAGTAAATGACCAGTTCATGTAATCGAGCAATGAAACACACGGGATTTCTCGGATGAGGGGCCAATAGCAGCCAGTGGGTTTCCTGCATCGCTCCTCTAGAATCCCACATCTACTGATCAATAATTGTTCTAGTGAGGGAGGGAGGCCATCTTGGGGCAACTTTCTCAGCTTCGGGCATTTTTCGATCCGTAATCTCTTGAGAGAGGGAGGGAGACTGCTGGACAGTCTTTTCACGTTCTGCATACCTAGGATTTCGAAATGGAGCAGAGAGGAAGGGAGCGGAAGCCGAAGATCCTCCTCCTCTCCCACTCCTCCAATGCTGCCGTCGATCTCCAGCTTTTCAAGGGAGGTGAGGGACGTAAGCCACTCTCTCACCGGCTGCTTCATATTCCAGCATTTCTCTGCATTAAGACTCTGTAGCTGGGGCGGCAATCCTCCATCGGGGAAGCGCGTAATACTCTCGCACTCTGAAATTGCTAGTTCACGGAGATATGGAAGTCGATGCAACTGATTAGGTAACGATTTTATCTTCGGACACTTATTAAGAGAAAATCTCGAGATACTTGGAGGAAGAGGAGGGAAGCACTCCAGGTCTAGTGCAAGACAGTCGTACAATACTAAGAAAGTGAGATGGGACAGTGTATGCATGCACGGAGGTAAACTTCTCAAATTATGGCAACCCCAAATGCCCATCCTTTGAAGCGACCGAAGACAATCTACATTTATATCCGTGAGCGACTCCACTCCATTGCAGGACATAATTTCAAGCGTCTTGATGGTCGCAGTTAAAAATCTACCCTCGCTGAACATAGAGGCTGGCAGAGAATCGCATTCGCCGATTGTTAATTTTTGCAGACAAGACATCATGTCAATGCGGTTATTCCTACTGCTGCTGTTGCCACTGCTTGGTTCATCCGGATGAATACTTAATCCTCTGGGTAAAGATTGCAACATTTTGCAGCCTTTGACATTTAATGATATCACCGATGTCGGTATACCTGTTTCGGGGAAGGATACGAGTTTTGGACAATTATCGACCGTCAAGTTTATAAGAGAGGAGAGGGTGTGCATTTTGCTTGGGAGCTTCTCTAAATTGGCGCAATTTGTCAATTTGATAATCTCGAGGGTGCTGGGCAGCTCTATATCTCCTTCTCCAGTCGCAAAGTATATGAATTCAGGACAACTTTTGACGATTAAACTCTTTAGGCAAGCGAGATTCCCAATTACATCTCTATCTTGCCACAAGTACATTAGCTTTTCACAACTTCCCATCTCCAACTTCTCCAGTTTGATCAAGGAGCTTGTAAACCCATGACTTAAGCTAGTTAGGTTAGCAACATCTTCTATAACAAGAGTGGTTAGAGATGTCAGATTCACCAAACTCTTCAGCAGCCCCTCATTACAACCTCCAAACTTTAATTTCTTCAGAGATGGAAGGCTCGTGATAGAGGGCAAGGCATCCATACGAGGGCAAGAGCTGATTTCAAGCTCTATGAGGGAGCTTGGTTGACTAGGCAATCTTCCGATCAACATAGGGCAATCCCGAATGACGAGATGCTCAAGACGAGGGAACAAGACTCCTGCTTCTTCAGTGCCGACCCAGTGAGACCAGTCCTCCCACAATGTCATGTCCTTGAATTCTAGAGTAATCAAGGACATAAAAGGACTTCTAGTTCCATAAAATTCAGATCCTACCTTGCATATTGCATTTAAACCTTCGATGTACAGTTCTTTCAGCGAAGATAGTTGCCCAAGTGATGGTAATGCTTTGGCCCTACGACACCCATGTAAACGTAAATGCACTATGTTAACATATAAGGGGCTTCCTAACCATGACGGGAATTCTAGGCCACCGTAGAAAAATATTTTGAGAATTTCAAGGTTTTGGTTAGGGCGAAGAAAGTCGAGGACCTTTGCTTCAAGCTCTTCATCCCGGAAATTCTCAAAATCTAGACACCATTGCATGGTTAATCGGCATATTCCCTTCTTCGTGTATAAATTGGCGTCCGTGGCATCTCTGGCTTCTTGAACCATATGCAAATCAAAGATGCATAATTCCCCTCCAATGTTCTCCAGATTTTTTAACTCCTTCAACCTTGAGCCATTTTCCGTTCCCACTACAAACTTCGACAACATCTCAAGACCTACCAAATTACCTATATTCAGTGGCATCCCTATTAGGCTCCGAGTGTCGGTAATGTCGAGATATCTTAGATTGATCAGTTTCTCTATATCTTCAGGTAATTTGATAAGCTCGTCACAGCCCCGCAGCATCAAAGCCTCTAGGTTGTGCAATGCAACAATTGACTTTGGAAGCATTTCAATATTAGTATACGACAGATTAAGATGTCTTAGGTGCCTCAGTTTGCCAATGCAATCCGGTAACTCTCCGATGCAGTAGTGACTTAATGAAATCACTCTCAAGTACTTCAATGCTTGCAACAAGTCACATATCACTTTCTGGGACAAATAGGAATAAGGGCTAGATTGCTTGCTTAACGATATGAAACTCCTAAGTCCCTTCATTCCATGATATATCTTAAATTTTTCTGGCACAATGTGACCACTGGAAATGAATGAGGCGTGACGAGCTAAATATGCATTATTTTGATCATGCTCAAACTCAATCTCCCCTGAGCTAAAATGGGTTGGACCTGCCACTAGCTTTGCTAGGTCATTCACAAGATCATGCATCAAGAATATTAATTCACTGCTACTCGACTTTTGAAATAACGATCTAGACACTAGCTCGTTGAAATAATTCAAACCTGCATTCCAACGGTCCTTTCCTTCTTTTCCCTCCACCAAGCCCTCTGCAATCCACCAGCGAATCAACTCATCTCGTTGGATTTCATAGTCTTGGGGAAATATAGCACAATAAGCGAAACATCTTCTCAAATAGGAAGGGAGATGGAGGTAGCTAAGTTTTAAAGCCGGAAGGATGTTAATTCTTTCTTCCGGTAGATCCCAAATCTTGCTGTTCATTACAGCTTCCCATTCACGGCGACTGACTTTAGTGCGTAGCAGCCCGGCCAATGCCTTCACGGCTAATGGCAAACCTTTGCATTTTTCTACTATTTTCCAGCCTAATACTTCAAGATCGGTACGACCATCGAAATTTAGGACTCCAAGAGCATGAAATGCAAACAAAGTCATACAAGCATCTGGTGATAGCACTTCGAGAGTTATCGGTCGAGCATGGGCCATTAAAGCAATGTCGAGGTGACGAGTCGTGATAATGATCTTGCTTCCCTTCTCTCCGGATTGAAAAGGCTTCAAGAGGGTTGTCCAGTTGTCATAATTCTCATTCCAAATATCGTCTAATACAACAAGAAACTTCTTCCCCGAAAGGTTTTTCTTGAGCTCATCTTGAAGCCAATTCAGGGTTTTACCTTCACAGGACAAATGGCGGTTGGTCATCTCCAGGATACTCTTTGTAATAGAAAGTACGTCGAAATTATCGGAAACGCAGGCCCATGCTTTCTCATTATAGGTGAGACTATCATCATGGTAGACTTGCTGAGCTAGAGCCGTCTTCCCAACACCCCCCATCCCTACGATGGCAATCACTTCTAGATCCACACATGTTCTATCGTCCTCTATTCGGGTCAGCCATTCGAGGATTTGCCTTTTTTCATCCTCCCTACTAATGAAACAAAGCTCGGTCCCATCCGTAGTGGGAGGCCGCCTATCCAGTCGGCTGTATGCTGATCGCTGCCCATTATTCTCTCTCAGGCTTAGATCATCTTTCAAAGTTATGATCTCCTGTAATCTTTGATTAATCTCTTCTATCTTGGATCTCATTTTGCAGTCGAACATAAATACACACGGGCTCAATCTGAAGCAACAACTTGGAAGAATGGATCGCGCCTTGCTACAACCGGGTTCTACCCTGGACTCGTTCTCCACAAGTTTTGTGGCGAACTCATCAAGCAAGTCGTCGATGTCGTAGGCCAAGTTCCTGAGATCTTCAAGCCATGACTTTACTCTGGGATCGCCGGTCAGTTGCTTGTCCTCTGCGTCATCCAGCACGTGGTCGATCCTGATCAGCCTCTTCTCCCATTTCTTCATTAGCTTATCGATCCCCTTACGCCGCGTAAAGTTGAGCATCTCAGGAGAGGCCAACCTCTGGACCAGCATCGAAAGAAGGGGGCCAAGAAAGAGCTCTGTGATGGGCATGGCTTGGTTCGGGAGTGGCAGCGGATCAAACAAGATGCGCGGATGGTTTGAAACAAAGTGTGCTGAGTGGAGAGGAAACACAAGTTCTTATTTCCAGGACATGTGCATCAAATGATGGTGGGAACCAAAGACTTTTTAAGCATTAAAGTATTCTAACTAGATGGAGATGGCTTTTGTCTTGGTCTGCATCTCTTCAATCCACTTGCACTGAAAAATGGACTTTGAGGCAACAGTCCGTGTAATTGGATGGATCCAATGATAATTGTTGCAGCGATCTGAATTTGAACTATTGAAAAAGGTTGGCCTCATATGGACCTTACTTGATCTAACGATTAAAATTCAATTTAATATGTCTACTAGATTTACTAAATAATTGCTCACATCCAATTTATTGGGATGCAGGGTCAGAAGTAAATTTGTCATATGGATCATTAGCGAGCATCTTGAGCCATATATATTTAATTTTTGGTAAAAAAGGCATATTTAAAATAAAAAAATCAATTTCTAAGCATTTTTTTCACGTAATATCAAAACAGAATGCATTGAAAGCTTAAAAAAATCCATAGTTGATTGCTTAACAAGTGTCCAGAAAGAATCATTAAAAAACTAGTTTTTAAATAATAATTAAAAAATTGTGGCATTGTATTCACCCTTAAATGGTTCCATCCACCTCTAGAGGATTTAAAAGGACAAACGTATCCAAATTAGCGGTCCCATTCCTCATCATCTCTATCTCCACCAAGTTTGTGTGCCTCACTCATTGTTCACCTCTATTTTGTTTAGGACTAGTACCTAATCGACATTGGTACATTAGCGGTGGAGGAAAGAATTGAGACTTAGGGCCCGTTTGGTTCGGCTTTGGGAAAATGCATTTGGAGTAATGCAAATACCTTTGGGCTAAAGGGGTTTTCCGAAATGCAAGTAGCGTTTGGTAAGTGTTTTACAAAATCAACTTGGGCTAAAGGACTTTTGCTTTTTTTTTTTTTAAAAAAAAAAAACTCCGGTGGAGCTACACGGCCGGCCATCGCCTCCGGCCAGATCTGGTCGCCGGCCAACCGCCGACGGCCGGATCGTCGCCGGCGACCACCGCCCTGGGGTCGCGCGACCCGGCGACCACCGCCAGGGTCGCTGGGACCTCGGGAGTCGCACAGGTCTCACGACCCGGGCGAAGCGTTACTGGGTCGCGCGACCCGGGCGAGCGTTGCTGGGTCGCGAGACCCGGGCGACTCCCGAGGTCCGGTGACTCCCGAGGTCGGCGACCCAGGCGGTGGTTGCGGGGTCGCGTGACCCCCGAGGCGGTGGTCGCGGAGGGTCGCGCGACCCCGGCGACCGCCGCCTTTGGGGTCGCCGGACCTCGGGCGGTCGCCCGCCGGAGGGTCGCGCGACCCCCGGGCGGTGGTCGCCGGAGTCGGGCTAGCCCTCAGGCGGCGGTCGCCGGACGTCGGTTTGGGGAAGATGAACAGTGTTGATGAATAGTGCAAGTTGCATTCCGAAAATGCAACTTCCCAAAGCACCTTGAGAAGTGCATTGGCCAAAGGTCCCTTGGCCAGCATTCCAAATGCAATTGCATTTCCCCAAAGTGAGTAAAAAAAATTGCCAAACGCCATTTGCATTTGGCCAAGGGACTTTAGAGGCCAAATGAGCATTGGGAATGCTGAACCAAACGGGGCCTTAAGACACTAGTGGTGGTAATTGGCGGCCCAATTCCCTAAAAATCCCCAACTTTAGCCTTTGTCCTAATTATATCCCAAACTTTTTTTTGTCTCATAAAAAACCTCAAACTTTTACTTTTGTCCCAAATTTACCCAGTTAACTTTTCGTCTAATTTTTTAATTTTATTTTTTAATTTTTCGAATTTTTTTATTTTTTTATTTTCTTTTATTTTTCCTTTCCTTTTTTTTTTTTTTTTTCACCTTCGGCGGTCAGGCCGCCAGCGCCCAGCTAGCTGGCCGGCGAGGCTTAGCCCCGCCGGCCATTAGCGAGGCTCGGCCCCGCCGGCGTTGGGCGAGCCGACCTCGCTAATAGCCGCGGGCCGAGCCTCGCCGTGGCTAGCGAGGCTCGGCCCTCCGGCCTGGCGAGGCTCGGCCTCGCCGTTCTCGGGCGAGGCCGATCTCACCGGAGGTCGGCGGGGCCGACCTTGCCAATAGCCAGACGGGGCGAGCCTCGCCCTCGCCGATTCTTGAGGCGAGGCCGATCTCACCCGGAGGTCGGCGGGGCGTACCTTGCCCGATGGCCGGCGGGCCGAGCCTCGCCGACCACGGCGAGGCTCGGCCCGTCGGCTATTGGCGAGGTCGGCCTCGCAGGCGGCGTGGCCGAGTTCTCGCCGAGATCGGCGAGACTCACCCCGCCGACAACGAGCGAGGTTGGCCTCGCCGAAGCAACGGCAAGGTCGGCCGAGGCTGAACCTCGCCATTGCTAGGCGAGCCGACCTTGCCAGATCCTGGTGAGAACTCGGCCACGCTGCCGGGCTTGCGAGGCCGACCCTCGCCAATGCCGACGGGCCGAGCCTCGCCGTGGTGGCGAGGCTCGGCCCCCGGCGGCTATTGGCAAGGTCGGCCCGCGCGGCCTACGGTGAGATCGGCCTCGCCCAAGACGGCGAGGCCGAGCCTCGCGCCCCCGCTCTCGGCCAGGTCACTGGGACCGCGGCCAGGCCCGAAGGTGAAACAAAAAAGAAAGAAAAGGAAAGGAAAAAGAAAAGAAAAAAGAATAAAAAAATTTGAAAAAATAAAAAATAATATTAAAAAATTGGACAAAAAGTTAACTGGGTAGATTTGGGACAAATATAAAAGTTTGGGGTTTTTTATGAGACAAAAAAAAGTTTGGGATATAATTGGGACAAAGGCTAAAGTTGGGGTTTTTTTAGGGAATTGGGCCGGTAATTGGCCAAGTAAAGTAGATGTAATACACAAAATATCATCCATCTCTACGTATGTATAAAAACACTTTTTTATGGGTCACCATTTGAATGTATACTCGATTTTTCATAAGTCCAATATTCTTGTCTTGATTGAGGCCACCGGCAAGTCTTTTCTTTTGATATCTAGTTTTGGCCAATGATGACTTAAAGAAGTCTGCTAAGAAAGTCTTCAGCTTCCAAAGAAATTGACTGGTGCTTAGTTAATAACTGAGGTTAGGTTACGGAGTTTCGTAGTCCATACTGTTAAATATGTCTTGAATTTTATGTACTCGGTCCGGTTCATCACCCGACCCGACATATTTTTTGTACTACCCAAAAGTGGAGAAAAAATTGAGATTTAGTTCGTGACGAGGAAGGTTGTGCCGATAGGCCCAACCCGGAGCAAGAGAACAACAAATGTCTCGGGGGGTTCGAGGGCTATGCCCTCGAGGAAATTTTTTGGGGAGCCCTATTTATACTGCGGCTAGGTTTTTTCATAGAAAAAAAGAGAGATTTTTGTTTTGGGAGAGATTTGTGAGCCGTGAGGTTTTGCTAAGTCGCTTTTTCGACTTCTGAAAACTGTATTCTCTTTGATTATAGTGAAATCTTGTTTTGCCTCACCCGTGAACGTAGATCACCTTATGATCGAATCACGTAAATCCTTGTGTTCTGTATTTGTTTTTCCGCATTTGTTTCGAACACATACCCATCTCTTCTTTCCTCCTCGCGATTTCGGTCTTTGTTTAAAGTTCTAAATCGTTGGATTGCTAGCACTAAATCTCAGCCGTCGATAATCAAATATTCCAGCAAATTGTCCAGCAAAAAGTTGCTGGTTTTCCTTTCTTCATTGATTGCTCTGCGACACCCCCCTCTTCCATCTTGATTTTTTGCACTCAAATCTGTTTTGCTCCTTCTCCACGGCACAACCATTCTTCCTCCGTCTCTTCTTCTTGTTTTTCTTCAGCATATTCTGTTCTTTTTCATCATTCTGTCTGTCTGTCTGTCTTTTTGTTTGTTGGTTTCTGTCCCGTCGTTTTCTCTCTTTCTTACTAGGAAGAGACTGCTGTTGCATTTCATCAGATGATGGTGTGGACCAAAGACTTTTCAAGCACTAAACTGCTCATTCTTTCTCGAAAGAAGCTGCCGTTGCATTTCATCTCGCCTCATTTGAATTTGAATTTCATTTCTTTTGCCTATAATTTCTCGGAAGCAAGTTGGTCGGACGCGGGACCAACAAGTCTTGGCATCATTAAAGCCAGCAAAGGCTCAGAAAGTAAAGAAGCGGGCCCCGTCTCCAACCCAACCCCGAAACTTTTCTGCTCTATTATTGTTCATTCAGTTTTCCCTCACCACTCACATCAATCGAATGCCCAAATGCACCCATCCGCCATCATCATGCATCACATAAGATCATATGGCATCGTGGTTTCATTGCAGCCTCATAAACCCCATCCTGTTATCAAATAAAGAAGTTATTACATACTTTTAGTTTACGTAGAACGAATACCATCGTAACCATTGATCATATGGGTCCCAACATAATGTCACGTAACACGAGAGCTCAATGCATTGAAAGCTCCAAATAATATGTAGTTGATTGCTCAACGAGAGTCTAGAAATACTTGATAAAAAAATCATTTTTAAAATAATGGCCATAAAAGAAAAATTGTTACTTTTCTTTGTTACTGTGGTTGCTACTGAGATTTGCCCTCTGAAAGATACATTATGCATAAGATTAGGGGGGAAAAATAGAGCGGCCCTAGATCGAATTAAATTGCAGACCTTCAAGCTTCATTTTTTCCGTTTACCTTTTTGCCAAGCAACAATGACTATATTCATGTTGAAGCTTCCTCGTTTTATTTGGTCCGCGGGGTCAAATAAAATATGCTTATTGTTTCAATAAATTTAATTAACCTACAAGGTTTTAAGGGACGGCTCAAGAAGTGAGTTAGCACGAGGACGCGGTTCAAGGGGTGGTTCAAGAAATGGGAGCCAGATAAGAACA